GAGTATGCAACACATGGAACTCTCTACTACCTCCCGTGGTCTGTGCGCCAACATTAGTACCTCTCAAGCGGCAGCTTGATGATGCTCTGACAAACATTATGTTTCAACACCCAACTGCATAATATATTCTCCTGTGCTCGTCAAAAACATGCCATTACGCGTTCACGTACATGGACTAACTGTGATCTTGTGAACCGTGTTCCGAACCAAAGTGTAAACACCCTATGGGATTTGATAAGCGAAGTCTTTGTAAGTTTTTTCCCATAATAAAAATTTGAATTTAAATTTGAATGTGTAACCCCTACTTTATGTGAATTCATCATTGTTAGCCATCATGGAAAATGAAGAGAACTGGATTTAGAAAGCACCCAACAGTAAAACTTACTGAAGGCGAATTCGGCAACACAAAATCCAGTTGTGTCACAATCGCATTGGATCGGTCACCATTCATAGCTTTCGGTGATGGCATTGCATCTTTGTAATTTCCTCCATCTGGAATGTCACCGTTCTCAGGGGGAGTGAGAGGTAGGGTTTGCGAAACTGGAACAGACGTCTTATCGGAAGAGGAATGGAAATTCGACGAGGTACGAGTACTGCCATCAAACTTTGCATGTTCAATTGGATCCGTAGCCTTTTGGTCCTCCGAAATGGATTCACTAAGACTGGACATACGTTTTTTAGACAACTGAGTGGCAGCCCTGGGTACATCCAATGATCCGGATTTCCGGAGGAGCTTTTCGCCTCCCAATCTTCCTTTTCCGTGAAGCTTTTGTGTAGAATGAGCAGCGTTGATCAACGAGACTCGTTCTTGGTCTGTGAACCCTTTAAAGCCCTTGAATGGAGGTTCTTCCGATACAGAAGCCAATTTTCCTCTTTCCAGATGGTCACTATGCATCGAACCAGTTGGAGATGGGAGTTCACCTTGTTCTTCCGTGGATGCTTGTTGTCTGATTGTACTAGTCAAATCCCCGGTCAAAAGCGAGTGACAGGAACTACGTCTTGGACCCATCCGACCCAAAGGAGACATTGCCTCGCCGAGTTCCATTGTTTTGGGAGGTAAAAATACTGTGTTAGCCTCGGTTTCTTTTTGAGCAAAAGGATCTGGATGACCTTAGGGAGATTAAAGGACGTATTCCATACGGAACTGATAGTGGGTAATAGTGCCTAGTCATTTCCAGATAATGGATAACAAATACATGGAATTTATTCACTTGGCTGAAATGGTAATTATCAATAAAACGTTTTTTGATCCTGCGGTTTAGATAAAAAACTTTAGCGATAATGATAATAATTGGTCTCCTTAAATTTTTCTTTAAATTACATATGAAGGTAAAAAATCCATTCAGATGCAAGCCTTACCTGAATCAGTACTCCTACGAATTTCAAAGACCAGAACCTGACCAGATCCGGTTCCAACCCAGATGGTATCTTCATAAGGCATGAGGGCGGTGACTCGGTTGGTGTTGAAAGTTCCTTCTTCATCCTGTGATACAAGGTAAACAGAATGGGAGATGCAGTTGAAAGCGGTAGACTTTCCATAGCATCTGAAGATCTGATGCTTTCATAAATAGCGACATTTTGTTCAATCGCTTTGATCACGTACACTTTAGAATATTCGTGGTGGTTACATAGTTTTCTTGGTTAATTTATATGAGAAACGTTTGCCCACCAGCATCGACTGGCTGTTGCTAACCGGGGAATCTGATTAGAAGCCTAGTTTAATTATGATACAATGAATCACAACTTTATTAGTTTATGTATTAAATGGCACACAGCGCATTGGTGTTTTAAATAAGCACACAAAATCTATGAGCCAAG